TTAGGCAACACCTGATTTTTCCAAGCTCAACAATCATTTTCTCACTGTCATCTCTTTATGTCTTTATCAGGCATTTATCAGTAGCAATTCCACCATCTACTTTTCTGCCCTTTTTTCTTTCTTTTTCTTTATAACCATCTGTATTACTTCTGGTTGTTCGCCTCCCCTTCACCTTCTTCCACCTTTAAATCTATTTCTTTCCTTTGTACTTTGTCTCTCTATACCTTATATTATATATAGGCTTCATACAATAAAAAGAGGCTTTGTTATTCGTACCGTTTCCGTGATATTAACATGGATGTTAAGGGGATACTAGGCGAGGTGCTTAATCAGGTATATGTGCCGACAACAAACCAGCGGGTCTCCTCTGCGGGCTCTCTCCTTCAGGGCATCAACATCACCGCGCTCGTGGACGTGCACTCCCGTGCAGCGTGTACGTCCTACGTCATCGCTCCTCCCCCCGACTTCCCTGTTTTCTGGCATCCCTGACTCCTGGCTTTTCCTTATTGCTGTGTGTCTTTCTGTTTCCCTTGACCTCGGCTATTCCTGACTATTCTTTGGTACATTAGTCCGGCCATTCTAAGGTCCGGTGTACGTTACCTATCAATCCTCTGTGTTACACAATTCTACGTGCTGGATCATTTTGCAATCCTGACATATAGGCACCCACCTACTACTTCCTGGTGATTGGGTTCTGGTTAAGAAATTCGTTAAGGAGAATACTCTTGAGCCAAGATATGATGGTCCCTTCCAAGTCCTCTTAGTCACAGCTACTTCTGTTAAATTGGCTGCTAAAAGTACTTGGATACACGCCTCCCACTGCAAGAAGGTTCCAGCCCCAGAGGAAGGGGACTATCCTAAGCCATGAACCTCCTGTATATCCTTCGCCTGCTAGGCCTGATAAGGGCCCAACAAGTTGCCATTACTAAAGATAATCATGTTTATACATTTTGGTACAACTCATCCAACACACATGTGGCCACCTTTTCGTTTGACTATTGTGACATTGTCAACTGTTCATTCCCACAGTCATTGTTCTCAAAAGTATACAAAGACATACTCATCATAAAAGATCCCTATATATGTGTGACAGACAACTATTGGGGACATGACTGCAGTTCCTGCTGGGTAATTTCACTCATGGATATTGTTCTACATATAGAACAGTACCACTTGCCTTGTTACAAAAACATGTTAGGTCCTTAGGAGACATATATTGGCTGTGTGGGGATATGCAACTTCGGTCATGGTTAGAAGATGTGTGGTGGGGAGAATGTACCTGTAATGGCACCCTCAGCATAAAAGGGTTAAACCGCCATTTAGTAGATCTTCCCTTCCAGAGACACAGGCACAGCTACTGCAGAACACCAATCCGCCGAACAGGAAACCATATGAATGCTGTAAACAGCCGAATAGGAAAAACCATAGGAATAGGTTTACACTCCTAGCAGTCGAACTGGAACAGCATACAATAAATCCCCCCAAGAACGAGACAAAGCTCCATGTTGAGGGTCAAGCAGTGAACAGACAGAGCTGTGGGTTTATTGTTCATATGTACACATTCTTACACATTAGTACTACCCACAGGGTTTTGGAACACAACCAATAAACACATACAATACACTCAGACACTCCCACACAAAATCCTCCCCTCTGCCTGTGATACAATTACCTTACACAATGGGTAATTTAATTAGCACAAGCAAAGAAATACAATTTTTCCACATTATTCATAACTTGAAAAGTATGCATCACATTCACATGAAACTTACATTTTCAATCAGCATACTCCAAATACAAACATACGTCAAAATCATACAAATTGGTCCAGTGGTTCAAAAGATAGATCGTAGTCCTTTGTGACCACAGGAGGCATGGCTTTTCTGCCCAAAACCAGTTCTACAGAGTCTTCTATCCTGGAGATAATTGGGAAGTAATCAAATTATCTCCAAAGACAGAGGCAAAACTCCATTGAACACATGGCAGCAAAAAGACAGTAAAATACAATAAAATACACAAGGTTACATTTATGACATAAAATACAGACATGCAACATATCCCCAGATAGCTTAGGTCTGAGCGCACATTTTTACTGAATGGCGCTCAGACCACACACATACAGTTCAATTGCCATGGAGCCAAAATCTTTTATTTCACGAGTAGGCTCCATGGCATAGCTATCTGGGTTTAATTAGTTCATTCAGTAAATCCGAGAATCTACCGAACGCCAGGGCAGAAAACATGAATAGACCTCTCTGCATAGGAAAATAAAGTATTTAAATGCCGGTCCATAGTCAAAAGGCAGCAGGCAGGCAACCAGGCTCCTCCAATGCACAGTGGCGAGATTGGTCTTGTCACAGTACCCTAGCCAAGGTTATTATGCCCATACACATAATATCTGACAATCACCAAAGTACTCCTGACACACCACATCCATACTTTAGAATCAAGAGGAGCACCTCATGTAAAGGGCCCTTTCGATCCACACACACACATATATATATATATATATATATATATATATATATATATATATATATATATATATATATACATATATATATATATATATATATATATATATATATATAGGCAGAAAATGGCCAGCACTCACGGTTTCAGGTAAAAGTTAAAATTCAGAAATTTATTAGAACATCTTTAAAAATGTAGCAGCTCGACGTTTCAGTCCTCCTCCGGGACTTTCATCAGGAATACTAACCACATACATATCAATAAATCGTTTAAATACCGGGCAGATAATTGGAAAAAGTCATTAAAAAGTAAACTTACCCCAGCTGTGCACCCATCACCGACTATCGCTCGCGTCCCCAAACACAGAGTGCGCATGCGCGTGCGTACCCCACCACGTGATCACGTACCGTCCGTTGCCATGGGAGCCGGATACACACACCAGTCCGGTCACCCTGGCAACCTAAAAACGGTAACCATATATTGAAAACTTTATTAGTATGTGCAAGTGAACATGAACACCATATTCAGTGTATTGAGCTGATCAGAGGATCCATATTATAAAGCCATAAATCCATACATCATATATATTATATATATCAACACCTATAAATTTTAAATATAAAGTCAGATATTTTACTGACAGTAATAAAGGTGATATGTGCAAAACATGCAAGTAAAGAAAGGACAGAGTGATCCAATGATGTGAACGTTATATTGAATTTTAAAGTGTCAGAATATAGTAATAAAGTGCTAAAGATTGGGCTTCAAAATTGAAGCAAAGTGCCAATATAGGTATAAAAATAATGGTGAAAATATAGTGTGAACTTATTAGAAATTACACAGATAAGATAGCCAAGGTTAAAACTATCAGGACAGGAGCCCATGGGTAAGCAAAGAAATTAATGTCCCCGACAAGGTTAAAAACACATAACCATAAAGTACACAAACACTAATGTTAAAAACAATGATGATGAAAAAAATATATATAGATTAATTATTAAAATTGATACAAGGCATTTATATAAATGAGTGATATGAAATCATTTCATTCAGTCCTCTAGGGGCTATAGTATCCAGGGTATAGATCCAGAATGTCTCTCTGTTCAAAAGGAGTTTTCCTCTATCCCCCCCACGTTTCAGTGGTGGTAAATGGTCAATTGCTAAAAATTTAAGAGCTGAAAGTGGGTGTTGAAAGGCAAGAAAGTGTTTTGCCACCGGTTGGTCAGATGTCCCATCACGATATGCCACCCTTATGCTCGATCTATGTCCCCTAATTCTTTCACACAGGGGTGTTTCAGTTTTACCAATGTATGAGAGTCCACAAGGGCAGGACAACTTATACACCACATATGGGGTCTTGCAGGTAATGGTGTGTCGTATCTGAAAAACCTTTTTCTTATGTGGATGTTGAAAAGTGCGAGACGGTGTCATGTGGCCACAGGTGACACAGCCCAAGCAACGAATGCTACCCCTATTTTGTATTTCAATGTTTTTTACTTCGTAGCTTCTTGTCGGGTCCGTATGGACTAACAGATCCCTTAAATTCTTATTTCTACGATAGCACATAAGAGGGGGTTCTTTGAACACCTTAGGAAGGGTGTCGTCACTTGCCAGCATATTCCAATTGTCCTTAACAATTTTAGATATCGTTGGGGATGCATCATGGAACGTTACAGGAAAAACTAACCTTTGAGATTCACTTTTAACTTTAGTTGGACAGGCAGACTTTGCCTCCAATTTTGCCCTAACTAGATCATCTCGTTTGTAACCACGTTCCAGAAATTTTACCATCATCTCTTCCAGTTGTCTCTCCATTATATTCTCATCTGAGTTATTATGTATAACTCTCAGAAATTGAGCCTTAGGTAGAGATCTCTTCAGTGCCTTGGGATGTGCACTTGTATTATGTAGGAGGGTATTTCGGTCCGTGGGTTTATGATAGAGGCGGTAGGCCAGTCCCTCATCATTAATGGCTATCTCCAAATCCAAAAATTGGACGGAGGCCAAGTTAATGTTTGCCGTGAACCTAATCGGACTCTCCACTTGATTTAGGAATTGTATCATCTCTTGAGCTTCCATAGCACTACCACTCCACAGAATCAATACATCATCGATGTATCGAAAATAGCCTTGAATGTATTGCCCAAATTTTGATAAAATCCATTGTCGTTCGTATATATACATAAAGGCATTAGCATACATGGGGGCCATAGCCGCCCCCATGGATGTGCCTGAGATCTGGAGATACCACTGCTCCTCAAACCTAAAATAGTTATTGTTAAGTACAAAGGAAAGAAGTTCTAATACAAACTCTATAGGTGGTCCTTTGTATAGAGGAGATGTCGTGAGGACTGTTCTCATAGCTTCTACACCTTGATCGTGTGGGATTACAGTATATAGGCTACCTACATCCATAGTAATTAATACTGTAGCGCCCTTTGCCAGGTTCAATTGTTTTAATTTTGTAATTAGACTAGGTGTATCTTTTATAAACGTCTCCAATGCGGCTATAGGGGCTTGGAATAAGGAATCCAACCATCTTGCAATAGGTTCCAACAATCCCTCAATTGCCGAAACGAGGGATTGTTGGAACCTATTGCAAGATGGTTGGATTCCTTATTCCAAGCCCCTATAGCCGCATTGGAGACGTTTATAAAAGATACACCTAGTCTAATTACAAAATTAAAACAATTGAACCTGGCAAAGGGCGCTACAGTATTAATTACTATGGATGTAGGTAGCCTATATACTGTAATCCCACACGATCAAGGTGTAGAAGCTATGAGAACAGTCCTCACGACATCTCCTCTATACAAAGGACCACCTATAGAGTTTGTATTAGAACTTCTTTCCTTTGTACTTAACAATAACTATTTTAGGTTTGAGGAGCAGTGGTATCTCCAGATCTCAGGCACATCCATGGGGGCGGCTATGGCCCCCATGTATGCTAATGCCTTTATGTATATATACGAACGACAATGGATTTTATCAAAATTTGGGCAATACATTCAAGGCTATTTTCGATACATCGATGATGTATTGATTCTGTGGAGTGGTAGTGCTATGGAAGCTCAAGAGATGATACAATTCCTAAATCAAGTGGAGAGTCCGATTAGGTTCACGGCAAACATTAACTTGGCCTCCGTCCAATTTTTGGATTTGGAGATAGCCATTAATGATGAGGGACTGGCCTACCGCCTCTATCATAAACCCACGGACCGAAATACCCTCCTACATAATACAAGTGCACATCCCAAGGCACTGAAGAGATCTCTACCTAAGGCTCAATTTCTGAGAGTTATACATAATAACTCAGATGAGAATATAATGGAGAGACAACTGGAAGAGATGATGGTAAAATTTCTGGAACGTGGTTACAAACGAGATGATCTAGTTAGGGCAAAATTGGAGGCAAAGTCTGCCTGTCCAACTAAAGTTAAAAGTGAATCTCAAAGGTTAGTTTTTCCTGTAACGTTCCATGATGCATCCCCAACGATATCTAAAATTGTTAAGGACAATTGGAATATGCTGGCAAGTGACGACACCCTTCCTAAGGTGTTCAAAGAACCCCCTCTTATGTGCTATCGTAGAAATAAGAATTTAAGGGATCTGTTAGTCCATACGGACCCGACAAGAAGCTACGAAGTAAAAAACATTGAAATACAAAATAGGGGTAGCATTCGTTGCTTGGGCTGTGTCACCTGTGGCCACATGACACCGTCTCGCACTTTTCAACATCCACATAAGAAAAAGGTTTTTCAGATACGACACACCATTACCTGCAAGACCCCATATGTGGTGTATAAGTTGTCCTGCCCTTGTGGACTCTCATACATTGGTAAAACTGAAACACCCCTGTGTGAAAGAATTAGGGGACATAGATCGAGCATAAGGGTGGCATATCGTGATGGGACATCTGACCAACCGGTGGCAAAACACTTTCTTGCCTTTCAACACCCACTTTCAGCTCTTAAATTTTTAGCAATTGACCATATACCACCACTGAAACGTGGGGGGGATAGAGGAAAACTCCTTTTGAACAGAGAGACATTCTGGATCTATACCCTGGATACTATAGCCCCTAGAGGACTGAATGAAATGATTTCATATCACTCATTTATATAAATGCCTTGTATCAATTTTAATAATTAATCTATATATATTTTTTTCATCATCATTGTTTTTAACATTAGTGTTTGTGTACTTTATGGTTATGTGTTTTTAACCTTGTCGGGGACATTAATTTCTTTGCTTACCCATGGGCTCCTGTCCTGATAGTTTTAACCTTGGCTATCTTATCTGTGTAATTTCTAATAAGTTCACACTATATTTTCACCATTATTTTTATACCTATATTGGCACTTTGCTTCAATTTTGAAGCCCAATCTTTAGCACTTTATTACTATATTCTGACACTTTAAAATTCAATATAACGTTCACATCATTGGATCACTCTGTCCTTTCTTTACTTGCATGTTTTGCACATATCACCTTTATTACTGTCAGTAAAATATCTGACTTTATATTTAAAATTTATAGGTGTTGATATATATAATATATATGATGTATGGATTTATGGCTTTATAATATGGATCCTCTGATCAGCTCAATACACTGAATATGGTGTTCATGTTCACTTGCACATACTAATAAAGTTTTCAATATATGGTTACCGTTTTTAGGTTGCCAGGGTGACCGGACTGGTGTGTGTATCCGGCTCCCATGGCAACGGACGGTACGTGATCACGTGGTGGGGTACGCACGCGCATGCGCACTCTGTGTTTGGGGACGCGAGCGATAGTCGGTGATGGGTGCACAGCTGGGGTAAGTTTACTTTTTAATGACTTTTTCCAATTATCTGCCCGGTATTTAAACGATTTATTGATATGTATGTGGTTAGTATTCCTGATGAAAGTCCCGGAGGAGGACTGAAACGTCGAGCTGCTACATTTTTAAAGATGTTCTAATAAATTTCTGAATTTTAACTTTTACCTGAAACCGTGAGTGCTGGCCATTTTCTGCCTATGTATATCTCCATTTACCCTGGATTACAAGCACCCGGATATTATTACTGTTTGGTCAGTGTGCAAGGATTAAGAGTTCTTTTTATATATATATATATATATATATATGCCATAGTGGTGCCAAGGGGTTTACCAAATGAATTCAAGACAAGAGACAAAGTTGCAGCAGGATTCAAATCTATTCTCCCAATCATCACTGCTAATAAGAATTTGAATAGGATTAACTATATCTATCTTGACCAACAGCGATTTGTCAATTACACTAGGGATGCCCTTCAAGGACTGGCTGAGCAATTACAAGCTACTTCCCAGATGACCTTCCAGAATAGGATGGCCCTAGATATGATTCTGGCAGAAAAAGGGGGAGTATGTAAAATACTCCCTGACACCATGACCTGTTGTACCTTCATCACAGATAACACAGGCCCTAATGGCAAGGTAACTCTGGCAATAGAGAAGCTAGAGAATCTCTCTGAAGAGTTGAAAAGGAATTCTGGGGTCACAGATCTGTGGAAAAGATGGTTTGGATGGCTGAATGGTTGGCAGAAAGTTTTGGCCCAGATAGGTGTGGCTGTCCTGATAATGTTGGTTATCCTTGCTCTCATTATCTGTTGCGTACTACCTTGTATCAAAAAGTGCTTACAAAAGACCGCAGATCAGGCCACCCCGACTTTCATTCACCAAGACATAGATAACGAAGACTATGACAGTCCTCATTCTCCTTTGCAATCCTTTCGCACCAATCACAAAGCTACTTCCTTTAGGGATAGTAGGAATAGTGTCTATCTTTACGAGCAAAGTCTGTAGCGAGGGGGGTAGTGGACCAGCATCAAAAGAGTTGCTATGCTTCTTAGACAGATGTGCTGCAGCCTCCTAGGGACAGATTTAGATATTCAGTAGCTTTTGTAGGATGTTAGTAAATAGTCATTTTAAGGGGGGACTGTTGTGGATGAAAATTAGTGATAGTAAAATGTTTATTTACTGTTTATACCTGTATTCAATATTTACTCAAAATGGCTGTGTAACAGATCGACGGGCACCCCGACTGGGTACCTCCATTGAAGGATGCTCCTAGCGCTTCCTGAGGGCTCCAAGCACTCCTGCCGACACCATAACCACCGTAGACTCCTTCAGGGAGAGCAAGACATGAACAAGAGTAGTGACAAGCATAGCAATCCCTTGTAGCAGATTCCCCCAATAAGAGACGGCACTCCAAATTGAGGGTGAAGTAGAACTGACTGTACTGGCACATACAGCCTATTTTATTCCCAATCCACAAACTTAGTACTGCCCACAGGGTTTTACAGAACAACCAATAACACACTTACATTACAGAAAACACTCCCAGCAATTATACACAAAATCCTCCCCTCTGCCTGTGATATAATTATGGTGCACAGTGGGTTAACATAATTATCACAAGCAGGAAAAATACAGTTTTTATACATGTGCTATAACTTAAAAAATATACGTCCAATCTTCATAAAGTTTACATATTCAGAATCAGCACATTTTAAACATAAACACTCTCACAAATCAGACAAATCCATCCAATAGAACAAAAGTTAACTAGGAGTCCTTTATGACCGAACGCAAGCACATTTTCCTGCCCAAAACAGTTCCATAGATTTGGGCTGTGCGGTCGCTCTATTTTACTCAAAAATTCGGGGCCGTTCGTGCATTTAGCTTAGTATAGCAGTGAGTTCAAACTGCCGAACTGGACTTAGTCTCTGCAGCTGAAAACTGAGTGAAGGAGAAGGTAAGGGTCAGCAGTGTTCGTTGAAATGTGTAGCCGATTTCAGTTCCATGGATTTGGCTACACATATTGCTGACCTCATTCGAATGAACAAAGATGGCCATGGCCACGTCCGAAGGCTGCATCCGAAGTGCCAATTTAAAGGTGCAGAGCTGCTCCAATACAATTTAAAGGGGCAGCAAGTCTTTTAAAATCCAATCTGCTAAAATAGTCTTTAACAGGCAATATCTTCCAAGGGCCATAGTCTTAAAGGGGCATTGTTCCCAAAAGTCACAGTATGTCCTCAGATGGTTCTTAAAGGGCCAGCAGCAGCATAATAAAATACAATATGCCCAAATACTGTATTTAAAGGCCCAAATCTCCCAGGGGCCATAGTCAGCAGGCAGGAGGCGGGCAAACAGGCTTCTCCAATGCCCAGTGGCAAGGTTGGTTTCGCCACAGGCTGCTAGAGCAAACCCCCTTCCACCGACTAACTACCTTATGTAACAAGATGGCGCCTACATCCGGAGTAAAATCCAGGGATGATGGAGACATCACGCCTTGTAGGATGTGCGTTAGATAAGATACTTAACACCTATTCAATTGAAGATGTATTTTTTCTGTTATCTACATTTTTGCATATTATAGGGCCTTGCCGCCCCCTTGATTAAACATTCAGAAGTTTTTCATTACCCTGATACCTGTGTCTCAGTGTTGTTTACTTCAGAAGCGTGCATGCATTTATTTATCAATTTGGAGGGGAGCAGATACTCAAATAAACAAACACTTGGTTTGATCCACAACAATAACATATTGTCTAAACTGGAAAAATGAAGAAATAAATATTAGATACATTTGATCACATATTTCCTTATGTTGTGAGTTGGTGATTTAGTAAAAATACAGACGAGAAATCCTTAAAGTGACAGTGCAATCATAGTAAATACACATACAGAATTCAATATGGAGTGGAGTGACACCACTTACTGCAAAGTAGAAGGGAGGGAAATTATGAGTATGTAACTTTTAGATTCACTCATGAATCAGTGAAATTCTAAAAAAATCTACAAATTATTTATTTTAAAAATAAAAAACATGGGTATCCTATTTCAATATTTAAAAATACATGTAAGTTACGATAAAAAATTACACAATTCGAAGTCCTAATTAAGACCATGTGGGATGTGTGTTTTAAAAGTTACATTTCATTTCTTCTTCTCCTATATTCTTATAAAAATCCCCTCCTCTCCAATCTTTCTGTACCAATTTCATGGCACAAAAAAAAATATATTTTTTGAGTAATTTTTATGAGTTTTGAAGTGGTTTGAAACACTGTGCGTTTCTATATCCTATTTTATATTCCTTATGTGTTCTGAAATTTTAATATGTAGACATCTAGTGGTTCTTCCCATATAGATGAGATAGCAGGGACATTTTAGGATATAGATTCCATTTTTTTTAAAGCAGCTAAATTGATTCTTAATATTAAATTCGTAATCTTTTTGATACTAAAAAGAGGTGATATGTCTTTTTTTCTGATTTGTCTCTCTACAGGCCAAACAAGATCCATAGCCGTAAAAACCTTAAATTACATATTCAGAATCAGCACACTTTAAACATAAACACTCTAAAAAATCAGACAAATCCATCCAGTAGAAAATCTGTTTTAAAATTGGATCTTCTTGTAAAATTGGCCAGTATTTTTTAATTATTTTTCTCACTTTTGTGTTATTTCCACTGTGGTTACATATGAAAGGGATTTTATTTGTGTTCATATTTACAGATTTTTTTTCTTTAATTTATCTCCTTTATAACTTTAAGATCTTTTCTTTTAATTTTCCTAATATTCTCCATACAGGTGGATAGTTCTGTCGGATCATAACCCCTTTTCTTTAATTTTTTTCTGCTTGCGGTATGTAGTCATTATCTTGCGTGCAGTTTCTTCTTACTCTCAAAAATTGACGCTTTGGGGCATTTGTCAGCCAAGGGGCATAGTGATAGCTCTTTTTCTCGATGTAGCTGTTTGCATCTACTTCCTTAAAATGATTCCGGTTCCACCGGAAGAAAAAGACAGCGAATTTGAAAATCATTAATATATAAAGAATTGAAGGATACAATAGCACCATCCATACCAACTGACGAAGCCACATCCGGCAAAATGCGTTTTCATACTGTACTGGACATTATTAAGAAGTTTTATCATCATTTATTTTATCCATTTGTTTTATCAAATAAATTTTTTTTAACCCTATTTGGATTTTCTGCAATTAACTGCTGGGAGAATATTGAAATACTTCAGGTAGATTTGGATCACCCATAAAGATCCTAAGGATATCCACACCAGATTCAGGTTTAGTATATGGCTCTACTCTTGTGAGTGCATTATTTGGAGTCCTATTTGGATTTTCTGCAATTAACTGCTGGGAGAATATTGAAATACTTCAGGTAGATTTGGATCACCCATAAAGATCCTAAGGATATCCACACCAGATTCAGGTTTAGTATATGGCTCTACTCTTGTGAGTGCATTATTTTAACAAGCAGAATATACATATATGTTTTAATGATATCTGCACTATTATATACCTCTATCTTTACAGCATCACTAGACATACTAAGAAGAGAGCAAAGTATATAATTTGCTCCACCTATTTTGTTTGTATTACATGTGATTTAAGGTGTTGGTATAGGGCATACCACACAGGTGTTTGAGCTTTTTATCACTACCAGATATACCACTTGTGTTTGTCTTGTTTATTCATATTATTCCAGTGAATGTGTTATCTCAAATTCAATCTTCACAAACTTCAAGCAGTGGACACATTCACCTTCTTCCACTAGATATATTTAAAGATCAAAATAATGCTGCAAAAGTTTTTTATTGATGCATAAAGATTTTACACCATAAAGGCAAAAGCAATAATTGCCAGTAGACTAGGAAACATGCAAACACGGAGGGGAATTATATTTTCTGGGATTCAGAGTGCGTTTTCGGACAAAAGTGTCAGTGGGGGTTTCCATTCAGCCAAGCAGTTCAACTAAAGTAAAAAAAGGAATAAAACAGATGTTAAATTCAATGCATCTACCTGTCACATAGAATTGACAAACTGCTTGGGTCAGGATACTATCCTGACAACCAAAATTATGTTTCTTTTCTGCTGTTTTATTTTCTACAATTACAGTTTTCCACCACTAGTGACCTCCCTAGCCACTAGTCTAACCTCAGTTACTCTCACCTGCATAGCATGATCATTTAATCTGCTATAAGAGGCCACACCCTGCTAAAGCAATTTGCCTTTACATTGACTGAAGTTTATGTTCTGATCCTGACAAGACTTCTAATCATGGCTCCTACTGAGAAAGCCTGCTCTACTCTGAATACCATTGAACCCATCCTGATTTATCCTACCAATCTGATTTATTTACAACCTGCTTACTATCAATAAGCTTGGGGACAATCCTGATCTTCAATACCAACCTGCTTTATTCCATACTGGACTTTGATTCCTTATTGCTTTGGTTTCTAAACTACTGTACACCTACCGAAAACTACACAACTAACCTGGATATAACAAAAATTCCTGATATTTGCAACTATCCTGAAAGACCCTGTTACAACTATCCAAAACCTGCAGTGCTACCTTTAAATCAAAGAGGCTGATGCACTAAACTTCTAACTAACCTGTATTACTTAAACCTTTTGTATTTCTGTCTAGTTGTATTTTATTTACCTGTAACCTATAATTTCAGTTATAGGTTTCCTTCTCTTTTGTTACCTGTATTATTACTTCTAAGTTATCATGTTACCAAATAACCTGCCTGAGGGATATTGCTCAAACCCTCTATTTATGTAATCTTTCTTTATACTTATAATCTCGCTTATAGGTTCTTCTTCTACCTATTGCCTATAATTTCGTTTATAGGTTCTCCTTCTGCCTATAATCTTACTTATAGGTTTTCCTGCTACTTTATAATCTGTCTGGGGCTTATTGTCTAAACTCTTTATTTTATAGCCCTCAATATGCTTGCCTGTAATTTCGTTTCTAGGTTCTACTTTCTCCCTTTGTCTTTATTATTTCCACTTCCCTTTAAGTCCTGCTACTCTTATTATTTCAAGACTAACCATGTCAAAGATTTCTAATAAAGAACCTAAAGTTAACCCCGGTATAAGTCTCTTATCTGACCTGATTAGAACCATGACAGCTTGTGTGAATTCTGCCAGACAGGACTTAACAATGCTGTAGTATGTAGAATCAATGTGTACCAAGTGTGGTTCCTTTGGATTGCTCACAAATAGTAAATTAATTTTATACCTGGAGCACATAAATTTCACATAAAGATCCCTAACTATGCACCATGTTTTGTAAAGTGGCTGTGACTACCATTCAGGAATATAATGGCACTAGAAAAAAATATAGAGGTGGGCTACAAAACTAAAAAAAGGAATGGAAGTTTTTAGTTAGGATGAAAGGTTAACAAATGTATATGTGTCTAGGTTAGAAAAATTATGCCTCTGTAGTTCTAAGAGCAGCTACCTTCTTTAAAAAGAAATATAAGTAGTAAAGTGAAACGAACGTTAGATTAGTTAGGTAACATGGCAAGATCACATTGAATACATATAGGTGCAGCATGACCTTCTTTCCAGCTATGCTTTCATTGAGATTCTCATGGGTAGAGAAGAGGGGACACAATATAGATAGGCCAGTTATGTCATGACATATCCACCGCTATCTGTTTGTGTAGGGATCATCAACATTTCCTTTGGGATCAAGGTCTCTGTAACCTAACAGTGTTCCTGGTTACATATTTACATTTTCCTCAATTTACAAATAATAAAATTTTCTTCTTACTTGTCTCTTTCTTCTGAAATCCAGAATCAGCTGTAAAATATATAACATCAATGTGTTAAGCTTACTATGTAAATTTTTATTTAGAATGCATGTTTTAATAGAATAAAAAAGCAAATAATTAAAATAAAGATATATTTAGCTAACTGAACTCACTCATAGTAATGGGTTGTAAACATGAACTTCAAAATGAATTAAAGGGACACTCCAAGTATCATAACAATCAATGTTCTTTCCAATGTTATGGTGCATGAAGGTTGCTAGCTTGTGCCTGCCTACATACAGCTGCTTGAAAGTACAGCAATTTTCAAAACTGTAGTTTTAAGCCCACTTCTTTAGTGACATGCATCTTAGGAAGAAGCTATAGTTTCTACGCGGAACATCCAAATATTTGTACGGTGTGCACAAGCATATTAGTGAAATCTTGTCTAATAATTCATTTCAACATTTCCGCAACTGATTACTTCTTTCACAAAGCTGTATTAAGCAGTGATGATAGCACATGTGGGACAGCATGTATCAACCAAGGCAGCATTTCCATCATCTTATCTGATAAGTGGAATTTCTGTGCTGAACTACAGTTCTTACAAATCCATGCTAGGCAGGGGATTAGAGAGTGCACTCAGCTCCCTTGTTGGCTGAATCACTTCCTGGTTTAGTCTGAGCTTACTGAATTATCACACATGCAAGAATGTCAAAGGTGAGGTTTATTTTTCCTTTCATATTTTTAAGCATGGCTTTCCTCTTAAAGAGCACTAATATAACATTTGATCATTGTACTTGCCAAATAGTAGACAAATTAAGTAGACAGAATAGCAGTAATAATAAATAAAGAAGACAACACTAGATTCACAGTAGTCATCATACCCCCGGATGACACAGCAGCATCCCACATCTCCTAACTCGCACTCACATGCTTGGAACTATTGGATACCATGTGCGTCATTTAGTGGTAGGGTTGAACAACTGTGCATGCAGCTATTCTGTAAATTCCAGTATGCCATATTGTGTGAGATCTCTTAAAGATTGCTATTGTACTATATATTACTGGCAATTTAACATTTTTGAAGGTGAACTTGCAATCCACAGTCTGTGGATGGCAGGTCTCTTTGCACATATCATCAGACACTTGGCATATTTAACAAAAAACAGTGATGCTAAAAGCCTGCATGGTGTTTCAGAGAACCATTATTCAATTCTCACTTCCATCTTGTTGGTTTACTTACAAGAATAAGTGAATGTGCCTCCTGTCAACACCCCCACGTCAGGGAATCTAAAAAGATAATATAATTCATTAATATTAAATATAAACTATTTCACCATTTGAAAGATACTTCCTGAAATGAATCAAGATAAATGACAATGGATTCAAAAAACCATCTGCATGTTAGATTAATTAGTTACTGTATAAGTTGGAAAACATTATAACAGGCTGGGATCTGAATTGAAGATAATACACTGCATAACTTCTAAATGTTTATCAAACCTGGACATTTCTAAGTAAAAACAATTAAAACTAATAAACAACCATTAAATTTGAGAACTCATTTATATATGTAAGCAATCTACAGAGCCTTCAAGATCAAGCTTATCTTTGCCTGAGAATCCTGCTATACAAAATATACTGCCCTGAGGTTCTTGGGTACTGAATAGCATACTGTGATTGATTAAGAACCAATAATGGGAAGGATGTCTTTTGAGTTTTAAAAAAAAAATTCCTTTGTACTACAAAGGGGGTCGATTTAGCTCTTTTTTATTCTTAATCAACGGAAGTATAATTATTTGTTGCTTTTGATGGGGTTATTTCTATAAATAGACGATGGTTCAAAAGGATCACTTGACATCAGGGTATATGCATTATAATTATTTTACACTTGTTAAAAATGTATTTTATATATCCTTTTATTATAGAAAAATATGCATACTTAATGCATATTCAGGGTCACTAGTAATACATATTTTTATTTTTGAGTGAATAAAATATTGAGAGTCATAGCATGTCTATAATGGTGGTGGATTGGAATATTTGAATAGAATTTTCTTTAAATTATGAATTTATTAAATATGAATGTCTCTAGATGAACTGGACTTACTTAAGATCTTCTCCCTCCAAAAGTTTTTTGTAGGTAGAAATTTCTACATCCAAGGCCTGTTTTATGTCCAAAAGTTCTTGGTAGTTTATAATAATTTTGTGGAGCTCAACCTTTGCAGATTCAATGGCAGCTTCATAGCTTGTTATTTGTGCTTGGAACTCCGCCACTCCCACACTGGACCTGGCCACCACTTCAGAAAGGTTGCTTTCAAGTGTATAATTCTACCAACAAAAGAAAAATAATATAGTTGTCTTATGAACATTATCATCAACCTGGAAAATATGATTAAATCACAATGTATCTAGTTTTAATTTAAATATCATATAAAATCTGATAGTCATCATTGTATGTTATGTTTACCTATGTCAATATATTTCAACACACTAAACAGCATACTGTTTATAATTCTTACTTACACTTACACATGCTACATTTTATTTCTTACAAGGTACTATACATTCTGATTCTATTTAATTAATTTGGAGCCATCCAGTAAAGTAGAGAGTTAATTACTTATGACCGTATGACCTGCAGAAGTCATTTTGACAGTTTACTATTACTGTTATATCAAAAAACTGGGTATTAGCACATAAAGATCAATCCTGCTCCTTTGTGTTGTTTAAAAAATCATTATTTTTTTCTCTGTTTAAAAAAATAATTGTGTGCAATAAACTCAGGTATCACCTCTCTCTCTCTCTTCGTTTTATCTTTGGAAGGCATTCATCTCTCTATCTTTGCAGAGGAACATTTAAAGTAACAATCCAAGCACCATAACCCCTTCAATTGACTGAAGTGTTTATTGTGCCTGGAGTGCCATAGCAGTCCTCCCCCTGTTCTTGAACAGCTTGATAATGTAACCTATGTGAGGAACCACTCCTCGCCTCCACTACGCACACAGGAATGTAGCAAATTCCTTGGCTGGCATTTCCGTTAGCTCTCCTGAGTCTCAAGCGATATTCTCTTATCAGAGAATAACTGATACATTAGCCTTTAATTAGATATGCTAAACTTGGATAATATAAAGGCAAGTGAATCATAAAATGCTTAATTTTCCATAATTAGAAACTTGATACAAACCACTGAAATAAGGGACTGAAGTTCTGTGTTCAACGTTTGAAGTTCTTTTTTTGTGGATGTGATTTCTGTTTTTACTGCGGCAACAACCTCTGATGTCTTGGCTGTTTCGCTGTTTATCTCTTCAATCTGTAACAAAAACACATTGAAAAACTAAATATTTTCAAAACTACAGGGCCCTCTTTGAGAATAACATCTTGATTATAGTTTCTAGAAGGGAACAGTAATAAATACGTGAACAACTGACTTTAACGAAAAGAATCATGACTGTAAACGAGCACCATATTTATGTTGTAAGGAAAGTGTTAACAAAAATACTTATTATAAATCTTAAAATTCCTCTTCCTGTAGGACTAAAATCATTCTAACTGAGTGTAAACTCTAATGTTAAGTACCCCCTAAACTCTTGTGGCAATATGTCACATAACACTGTTACTGAAAAACAAGGGACACTTGAACATGCTGGACTGCATGGGGTGTAACTATATGCTTCAGGGCCCAAGTGCAAGAAATAATAAAGCTCCTCCTTCCCCAAAAGTATGATTTGATACAGCTATTTATAAGGTTTTTTTTGTTTGTTTTTTTACCACAAGCACCTGAAACGTGCCTCCTCCTCCCCTCCCCATCTTCCCCTCCCCTCCCCGCCCCTTCTCCAACAAACTCCTGTAGCAGGAGTAGTGGCAAACATTGTTCTTCTCAGACTTTCCCAAGGTAACTAAACCTCTCTTGTGCTTGGGTACCCATGGCAGGTGGAACCTGAGGGCACAGTCACATTTGAGAGCTTTGCGACCCTGGTACATTGACTGCATACCATGTCCATGTCACTGCTAATAAAACTTTTCAATATTTACATATAATAATACATTTACTGCTTTTATTTTTTTTTTTAAATATACTATTTACCAAAAATACCGATATATGTCATATTAATCAAGAAAACCGGTTAATTTGTAGGGTAAAGAACAAAGTAAGAAGTAAATACCATGGAAACAAAGACTATCTATCACCACTGAATAACTCAGTGTCCAAATTATATTTAATGAAGAATAACATCACATTTATTACCTTAGTTCTGAAATATGTCTCTGCGTCTTCTTTGTGTTGTTGGACAGATTTCTCATATTCTGCTCTCAATTTGCTCAAAGCAGTGGTGAGGTCAAATGATCTAACTGCATCCACTTCGATGAGAGACACAGATGTGTCAGCTGAAGTTCCCAACTTACTCTGTAGTACACTGAGTTCCTGTGTAAAAATATTTAAGGTTAAAGTCTCACATTATAATTAAATGGCAAAAAGATACAAATTCACTAGGGGGGCATGAGATAACTAGATGACTTTAGGAGATAGTTTGCCCTTATTATGAAGCAACTTTATGTAATGTTAACTTGTTTTAACTGCACTGCCAAATCATTAATGGTATTAGTCATATAAATCTGATATTCGCTTGAAATAAAAATTACTTATTTTTCCATTTATTAAAGTCTTAAATGGACACTCCAAGCACCAAGTGAATGTACTTTGTTTTTAAGGGCATTTGTACTGATGAAGGGATGTACCCAAAATGTTTGCTGTATCTTTTTATGTCCTTCAAATAAACCACTATTGTCGCACTTTGTGCACACATCATATCCTATTGTCGCACTTTGTGCACACATCATATCCTAGTTGGTTGCTCTCATTTTTTCTTGTATTCTGCATTTTGCATTGTACTCCTGATCAAGCATCAGGGGCTAGATGTTACAGCAGCATGAAGGTAATTTTTGTTATTATTTTTCAGGTTTGTGTAAACTTCTGACATCATTTACACTGTGGCATATAATGAACAGCAGTTTGTGGGTTACAAATCAGACCCTAAAGAAAATAATCAGAGCCTCTTGATTGGTAGAGTCTCTGGTCTTTGAATGGCTTAGCTGCTGCTCATGCTTGCTTGTGCAAGTGTAGCAGGAACTTCAAAGGTACCTTTTGCTATTTGTTTATTTTTTCACTGTTTTTTTAAAGCATTATCTACATTATTTGCACTAATAATGGGGATCCTGAAGAATGCCTGCAAAGAATACTTATTGTTGTTCTGCAACAGATCTCAATCTCCTACCTCTTCGTGTGTCTTCTTCACAAATTCAAGGTCGTCCAGTGCAGCTGTAAATCTTTGTTCCAGTGTGGTTCGCAATTCAGTGGCAGATTCAATATCCTATATAAAAAAAATATTAGAGGCAATATTTTCATTTATGGTCATTCATTTCCTCTCCAGTGTTGATTTTTTTTCTAAATAATGTAAATATTTTTTCATACCATATATACTCGTCTATAAAGCGAGTGCAGTTTTTTGACCAACAATTGTGAAATATGCTACGACTCGTGGATAAGTCAAGGGTAAAACTTGGGGCTATGAAATGCTGTAATTTTTATAATTTTGTCAGATTTTACCTAGGTAAAGAGTTATGGTACCTACTTCTCTACATCTCAGTGCACATGCCCAGCTCCACAGATATTAGTTGACCGTGCCTGAACGCGGCAGGCACATGCAGTTAGCGTTATCTTGCCAGCTAGTGGTCCTGCTTGCTCACTACAGCCAACACTACAACAGTGACGTGGAAAGGGTACCGATAGGAGGCAGTCATCAGCTGCGATGAGAGCAGCAATCGCTGCACTGTATACTAAATCATGGCCGGTGTATGATTGACTCCAGGCGTATCAAACCATATGCTTGTATCTAGATCTCCATAAGTTAACACTCTTCATACTCGAAACTAGCACTGACCCGTGGATAAGTCGGCTCTGCGTTTTAAAATGAAGTTTATGACTAACATTTCTCGACGTATACATAAGTATATACGGTAATTTAAATATTAAGTGTAAAATGTATACAGAACATTTTTGGAATTATAAGCAATGATTAAACACAGAAACTGTAGAATTCATAGAAATGTAACCTTCCAATTTAGTTGCTTTCATTGAATCAAGGCAGTTTTGGAGCCTTCTAATTTACAATTTAAATTGAATAGTTCATTATAAAATACATCATTACAATTTTACTCAAGCTCTGGTTAACTAAAAATAGCAAAACATTATCTTCTAGCATGAAAACAAAGCGGTCTTAGTGCTATATTGAAATGTTTCCTTTTTCAATTTCTTACTGTAGTGAATCAATAACAAAAAAAACATTTACCCGTTTCATTGCTGCGATATCAGTTTCCAGTTGGTATTTTACTCCCAGTTCCAATTCAAACCTTAAGGAAACATAAATAGCACACACTTAATCATATACATAATTCATTGCATATTTTGAATTACAGCAAAGTTCCATTCTAGGTGTTTTAGAGCAAGAAAATTGTACTAAAGGATAAAACAGAGGATAAAAAAAAAACTTAAGCACAATTATGCTACCATTAACTGATACTTTTGAATTGTGTTCTTTACTTGCAGTATAATGTCTAAAAGACCACTAGACCATTGTATGACAGATGAGATTGATGTTTGTTTGTATGTATTTACCTTTTGGCCATCCCTGCTGTATATTTAGTGTATATAGTGTATAAATAAAAGTACGATAGAGAATAAAATTATCTTCAAATCCTCACTCTCTATGTACACAGCAAATTTAAAAAACAAAAAACAAAAAAAAACATTGGCTTCCAAGTTTCGTTAGTTCTAAGTCAAAGAGGTTTTATTTACTAATATGATGGATGGCCACTGTTACAACCGGTAGATATACTTACTTTGTCTTGAGCTCTTCTGCTGCTCCCCTGATGTTGTCCAATTCAATTTCATATCGAACATTTTCCAACGTTAGAGTCTCAACTGTATTTCTTAGGTCTGTAATCTGCAGCTCAAAGTTGACAGGTCCAGAGGTATCTGAGGAAGTTACTGAGGTGCCCCCTGTCAGCAGATTCAGTTGTGTTTGCAGAGTTTGATTCTCAAACTGAAGCTGCTTCACTTTCTCAACGTATGAGTAAAAACGCTCATTTAAGCCTGCTAGAGTCTGCTTCTCACTTGCTCTAGAAAGAAGTTGGGGAACAACCCTTGGAGCCCCAACATTTAGAGTTGAACTTAGGCCGCCAGCAGTTAAAGAGCGCCCCAAAGAAAATGCTGCACTTCCACCTAGACCAGCACCCCCATAGCCTCCTCCGTAGCCTCCCCCTAGGCCTCCCCCTAGGCCTCCACCTAGGCCTCCCCCTAGGCCTCCCCCTAGGCCTCCGCCTAAGCCTCCACCTAAGCCTCCACCTAAACTAAGTCCAAAACTACCACCACCTCCACCTAAGCTAAGACTAGCTCCTCCAAGTCCAGCACCCAATCCAGCTCCTGCACCAAGAGCAAAACCTCCACTGCTCAAACCAAATCCACCTCCTCCTCCTACACTCAAACGTGACAAACCAGAAGAAAGACCAGCACCAGCAGATGCTCCATGGCTTAGAGAGTAGCCAGACTTTTGGGAAGAAGAAGCAACCCAACTCGCAGAACTTGCACCTGAGACTGACATGATGACTTGATAAAAAAGAGAAGAACTGAATCAGCTCACAGTCTCTATATACATGGGATATAGAACTAAAAGCAGCAAACTAAAAATCTATGGGTTTATATATGTTTTATTTTTTTGCCACATGTACAGCCTGGGGAGAGCGTCCTACATTTCTGCAGAGTAGATAGTTTTGTCAGCGTCTGCCCTCCAGCGTGACAACACCACACAGATAAGAATTCTACAATATCATTATCTGTCAGGATTCAAACCATAACTATGTAAAAAAGAATAGCTAAAAGGCTTTGCTTGACATATTTGCCCATGGGAACATTTTAAAAGTATTGCATGCCTTTCTTCAAGATAAAAAAATCCAATGAGGTGGAGTATTTCAGAAGTTCATAGACCTCTGATATTCTAAATTAGATTTATTTTATGTACAATTTCAGCCATGTACAGTTGTCTTTTTGTATATTTTGTGGTTTAAAACTCTGCAGTTTGCAAGAAGCTCGAAACATTCACAGTAGCATGTGAGTTCTCTGTAATATTTATACATCTATAATGAATGTATATGTTTAGAGAGAGAGAGAGAGAAAAAGTAAATGTTTAATTTAGTAATCAGGATTGAGGAAAGGCCAAAAATATGTAAATGACATAATTAAGAAAAATCAAGAAGAAGAAAATAAAATGAGGTTTTTGGTGGGATATTAAACATGCACAGCTTAGTTTATTTAAAAGCACATAGTCTCTCTCACAACTACAGGCTAATTCGTTTTTGTATTTTTGATAGTCATTTACGGTATGATGGATAAGTAGGGTGGACAAGCAAGAGAAAATATGAATGATTAGGAAATGAAAAGGTTTTTGAGAAATGCCCTTTACTAAATAGGGTGTCTGGGTCTGAAAGCCAGAAATAAAAATTTGTCTGGGGAAAAAAAATAAACATAATTATTATATTTATTATAATACATCACTATTATACATATTAGACTAGTGCAATTGGTTTCAAACAAATTGGGATTTATCCAAACTTTGGTAGTTTGGCAGGATGTCTGAATTCCGTAACTCTAAAGCAAATGAAGCAGACAATGGATAAATGTGTTTGTTTGCTTGTTTTGGTATTCGGACAAAAAACTGGCATGATTGACAGTAAAAAAATGATTGAAGGTTAGGGTACTGCCACTAAATATTAAATGTATTCATAGGCCAAGAGAAGTGACCAGTAGAGGGAATAATGAGCATTTAAAAAAAAAATCTATATTTATATATTATATTTTTAATAACTATCAGGAAGATGTACTAAAGAATAACTGTCTTATTTTATTCATCTATTTGTTATTTTTCAATTGTTTTCATATCCACTTCCCTACCATATAATATTACTGTTTAAGCTGTTTGCTTTGTTAAAGGGACACTATAGTCACCAGTGCAACTATAGACCCTATAACACGACCATCTAGCCCCCCTGGGCCCCTCATGCCTCAATAAATATAGTAAAAATCTTACTGTATTCAAGCCAGAAGCTGTAAATCTACATGCTGTTAGACTCAGGAAAAACAAGCAGTCTGCTGGCATGTGATAGCCTGATCCAATCACAGTGCTTCCCCATAGGATTGGCTGAGGCTGACAAGGAAGCAGATCAGGGGCAGAGCCAGCATGATTCAAACACAGCCCTGGCCAATCAGCATCTCCTCAGAGAGATGAATTGAATCAATGAATCTCTATGAGGAAATTTCAGTGTCTGCATGCAGTGGGAGGAGATACTGAATCACAGGATGCTCGTGTACAGCAGATCTGAGTGGATGGAGGCATATTATGAGAAGTCCCTCTGGTTCACTCTGAGTGACTGCAACTGGAGGTGTTCCTAGCTTTTAATGTAAACATTGTATTTTCTCAGAAAATACAGTGTTTACATGAGAAAGGCTGCAGGGACCTATAGTTCTCACCTGAACAACCTCATTAAGCTGAAGTTGTTCAGGTGACTATAGTGTCCCTTTAAATGTTTATTTTTCCTAGTGTTATGTTATTGAACTTTTAGTCGTGTTAATTTATGTACACAATGTTTGATTTTCACCTATCTGATCTCTCCCATTCACTCATATCTTGAATCTCAAATGTATTCCTTTGCTTCATTGATTTTTCTCACCTCAATATATGCATGCCTGGCCATGTTCTGAGGCTGATGGGCCTTGCTGTGTGCCATCATGGGCCAGTGGTGAGATTAAAGATCTCTCTCACCGGGCCACAGGCACTTCACTCTGGTAGAGAGAAGTGGAGGACACGGGGGCCCTAGCCTGCAGATCTTCCTCTCACATGCTTAGATGCTGCTGCAGTTACTATGGCAATGCTCCGACAGGCCGGATCTCGCATGAGTGTTCTACTGCTGCAGGTTAGAGTTCACAAACCACCGGACCACCAGGGCTTACCATGTCCCTCCTCCCGGGCCAAAGATAAGATGGGAGGGGAGATATAATGTTTATATATTTATTTATTTAAAAAAATAAAAATTATATATATATATATATTTATATATATATATGTATTAAGCCAATTTTGCCTGGATTTGGCATTTTTTCATGATACGCTCAAACACGCTTGCGGTTCGCATAAAATTCATACGTTTAAACTATTCATTCCAACTTCTGTTTTCCCTCACATTGGGTTTCGGTTTTATTTCTATGTATTACGCATAATCCTTTCGTTGATTATATTCACCATTTCATGTATATAACATTCGGTTAACGAATTGCTTGTTTAAATAGACAGATTATTTCTATTACTGTTTAAAGGTATCAGTATTGTATTATGTCCATACAAAACCAAGCTCATTTTGACTCCCACGCTTTCAGGGGTCTGCCATACTTATCTATTCATCCAAATGGACTCAGCCTACATTACAGGCCTCATTTCTGTGTCATAACTACGACACATACAAAAGGATACAATTTCCTTTTACAAGCAATAAATTTTCGGGTTGATTCACGTACTGATCCAACCAATCATACGTCTTTTTCAATACAGATATATCATATATATATACATCACTTTGCATCACGTAAGCATTTTTTGTATCCCTGCCCTTGTTGTTATTCTATTACATATCATACTTAATGCTGTGTAATATAGGCCATGGCCTCCCTCATCCATGTTCTTTTCTATTAAACCAGCTAACATTTCTGTATGGATCATTGGACTCCCACGCTTACAGGAGCTTTCATAAATTATCCATTTCATTTCAATTAACTCAGCCTACGTTACAGGCCTCATTTCTTTTTTTATGACCATGACACAAAAGGCTTTAATTCCTTTTCATGCATACTCGGGTTGAATCACACGTACTGATCCAACCAATCATACGCTTCCTGCACAGTAATATACATATATATATATAACCTACATTTTATGTTTCCCTTACACACCATTATTATATAACACATATGTTGTTCGTACATAGGCCACGGCCTTCCTCAGATGTCTTATTTAAGCATGACAACATTTCTGAGTAACTCATATCTATTCCCATGGTATCAACATTTTATTTTCAATCATACGCCAACAAACCATAAAAACATTGCTGCTACAGGCTATAAGTCTGTTTTCTTTCCAACAATCCACACTCATCATACTACTCTCTTTTACCCATTTCAGGCTGTCAAGCTTATATATATTTGCTCCACATGGTTTTTCCTGTGAATTTGTCATACTACCAGGTACGTACACCTGCTCATATGGTATTCTACCATACATTTCATTTCATCCCCCTAGGTTAGAGTACTGGCAATAGGGTCACAGGCTTCCCAATAGGTATTTACCCCGTCTTGGCAGTTGCCATCAGTTAGTGGTCCCGCGAGGCCAACAACCCGCCTCAAACGTTTCAGAGTCAAACACCCATCGGGCCACACGTTAGCTAGCCGCCTCGCATGTTGCATAGAGAGGGCCTCACCTGTCACTCCCTTCCCCTGTTTTCTGTCTTACAGTCACCGAGAGGCCTAAAACTCCTGCCACTACGACGAGTGATCTCAATAACCCCTCGCGCCAACGCATAGATAGAGCCTCTCAAGCCACTTGGCAATTAGCAGGGCCTCATCTGTCACCAAACAAGTATAATGTTTCGCCATCCGGCCTAGCTAGCCTGACAGGAAAATTTGGTGGTTTTATATACTAATTATATAAAACCATCAAATATACTAATTTATTGCTAGGCAGGGTAGAGGATTTCTCCCTGCCTAGCACCCCGGCTAGAACTGTCACTCCCACACAAGGAGGAGAGCTAGCTAGTCCAGCATCGATCAGATCCTGGACGATCCCGCGTATAACCACGGAATTGAGGAGACGACAAATCCCCTACCCCGCTACAGCAAGGAAAGCAGAACTTTTAAAACTGCTACACACAGCTACAAATAACATGGATGCTGGGGAAGGACCTAGCCAGTCCAACCCAGGAGACATACATGCCATGTTATCCTCACTCATGGCGTCCATGAGCAAGGTCAACTCCAGCCTGGAGAAACTTGAGTCGGTCACCACGGCCCTTACTCTAGCAGGGCCATTAGTTGCTCCAGCCATCACCCTGGATGACCAGGAAGTTAGCCGGGCTCATATGATACCTGAGCACATAAAAAGGGATATCCTGGAAGGTAAAGACATCAACCTGGCTTCCCTGTTGATTGCCTCCCAGGATATTGTTGAGAATAAGACGTATGCTTATGATGATGTATCTGTTGTCAGATCTAAGGATGCCCACCTGAACAGGAAACTGACTATTCCTGAATTTATACTAGCTTTTGGTATTTACAGGGATGTCATCTGTGCGGTCTATCCCAACAGAAGAGAGGAGTTTGATCTCTATATGCACAAGCTGGTAGACCTGGGCAACAAATATGGTGGTTCAGCCTTCTATGACTACCATAGGTCTTTTTCTGCAAAAGTGTCTGGAGCCTTCTCCCAGTATGGAACATGATCCAACTGGGGAAAGATTGATACCGTCATTTTTTGCAGACACTTTGCAGGTCTAAGAACACTGGCTTGTGCATACTGCTCCTCCACAGCCCATTCTACAAATTTTTGTCCCAAGACGGCGGACGAACATGCCTCCACGCAAGGAGCTAGTTCCTCTGGGGTTCCAGGGAAGTTGTCAATA